CGCAACGGCTCCCCCTGTTTTTTTAGCCGAACTTTGGCCAAAGTTACTAGAAAACCCGAAACTCGTTTGAAAAAATACGAACGGTGGAAGTCTTGGAACGACTTTCGTGCGTGTGGATTCAAAAATTCAGGCAGTTTGAGCCAACCGTAATGAATCCCGTAGAGTTGAAAGTGAGTGATATTGATGGGAAAATGCGATTTGAGCACTGCCCGATTGTGTGGTACAGTATATGCACGCGCCTGTCACTTGCATGATGTAGCTGGCGACGCTAGCATGCCAATCCGTGAACCCTAAACTTGTACTGAAATCCAGTCAAAGTAAAAATGATTCTTCATGACAGTTGGGGTCAACTGTCATGAAGTTGACCCTGATCTGTCCCCGGGGAAAATTGCAATTCCGCGGCCGCGTTTTTTTCCGCGTTTTTTGCGATTTTTTAAAAGACCGCGTTTTCCGCGATTTTCCCGCGTTTTTTGAACTTTTTTGTTACACTACACGTACACACAGTGCACTGTTCGGTCAGCAACGTCTCATCGTGGCGGCTTTTTACTCAAATATGACGAGTGCTTACACCAGAGACTTGTAACTGATTGATTTCACTACATACTCACTGAAAATTGCCGCACATCAATATTATTCACCGCATATTTACCGCATATTTACCGCAAATTCACCGCAAATTATGCCATATTATGCCGCGTTTTTCCCCGCGTTTTTTGCGATTTTTTCCGCAATTTTCCCCGGGCACAGCCTGATGCTCCTATTCCCACTATTTCCTCCTTACCTCCACCAGCAACTACATTGCACTCCCTGATGATCACCTCATCGACTGTTTACAAGTATATCGCAAGGCTGCTTCTGAACGAATCCCCCGGAGCAGATAGGATCACCAGTGAGATTCTCAGGAAACTGAGGTACTTAAAGGGGAAGTTAAGGCAAAAATTAATATAATTTCACCAGTTGTAGTCTTCGGGGTGCTGAGTCGAATGGTCTTGGTCCGAGAAAGCTGAGACGCTCCCTTCCTCCTTGAATCCCAATCGAACTCGCGCACTTCCACCGAAACTGGGTGACTGCGCCCTACTAGATGGGGATTTGTATGCAAAATGTCACTAAAAGCGCCATTTCGTTCTTATAAAAGCACGGATGACCGCGATTGTCCCATATGTTGTAGTCTTTTGGACGCTGAGTCGACTGGTTTTGGTCCGAAAAGGCTGCGATGCAGCGTTCCTCCTTTATTCCCAATCGAACATGGTTGAACAAGCGGTCACGTGCTCCTGCGTACACCAGTCAGCTGGTCACCGTGCCTGCAGGGTACAACTTACTAGCCTGTTTGACCTTTTTTGGGTGCAGTCCTGTCACTCGAGTTGAACTCGAGTTGAACCTTGGTGTGAAAGTTGTCGCCTGCTGGCGTGGTGACCAGGTGATTTGGGCATCCAGGAGCACGTGACCACTTGTTCAACCACGTTCGATTGGGAATAAAGGAGGAACGCTGCATCGCAGGCTTTTCGGACCAAAACCAGTCGACTCAGCGTCCAAAAGACTAAAACATATGGGCAAATCGCGGTCATCCGTGCTTTTATAGGAACGAAATGGCGCTTTTAGTGACATTTTGCATACAAATCCCCATCTAGTAGGGCGCAGTCACCCAGTTTCGGTGGAAGTGCGCGAGTTCGATTGGGATTCAAGTAGGAAGGGAGCGTCTCAGCTTCCTCGGACCACGACCATTCGACTCAGCACCCCGAAGACTACAACTTGTGAAATTTTAATTTTTGCCTTAACTTCCCCTTTAATTGCCCGCCCACTCTCCATTCCTTTTAACCTATCCCTCTTCTCTGCAACATTCCCGTCATTATGGAAGTCAGCCACTGTCATTCCAGTGTACAAGAATAAAGGCGACAAGAACAACCCGTCTAATTATCGACCAATGTCCCTCCTGTCCTGTGTCTCCAAAAGGCTAGAGAGGAAAGTGTACAACCGCTTATATGACCATCTCTCTCCTCTTCTTCACCCCTCACAATCTGGCTTCCGTCTTAAAGGGGAAGTATACCCTAAAATCAAATTTTCACCAGTTGTAGTCTTCTGGGTGCTGAGTCGAATGGTCTTGGTCCGAGGAAGCTGCGACGCTCCCTTCCTACTTGAATCCCAATCGAACTCGCGCTCTTCCACCGAAACTGGGTGACTGCGCCCTACTAGATGGGGATTTGTATGCAAAATGTCACTAAAAGCGCCATTTCGTTCTTATAAAAGCACGGATGACCGCGATTGGCCCATATGTTGTAGTCTTTTGGACGCTGAGTCGACTGGTTTTGGTCCGAAAAGGCTGCGATGCAGCGTTCCTCCTTTATTCCCAATCGAACATGGTTGAACAAGCGGTCACGTGCTCCTGGGTGCCCAAATCACCTGGTCACCGCGCCAGCAGGCGACAACTTTCACACCAAGGTTCAACTCGAGTTCAACTCGAGTGACAGGACTGCACCCAAAAAAGGTCAAACAGGCTAGTAAGTTGTACCCTGCAGGCACGGTGACCAGCTGACTGGTGTACGCAGGAGCACGTGACCGCTTGTTCAACCATGTTCGATTGGGAATAAAGGAGGAACGCTGCATCGCAGCCTTTTCGGACCAAAACCAGTCGACTCAGCGTCCAAAAGACTACAACATATGGGCCAATCGCGGTCATCCGTGCTTTTATAAGAACAAAATGGCGCTTTTAGTGACATTTTGCATACAAATCCCCATCTAGTAGGGCGCAGTCACCCAGTTTCGGTGGAAGTGCGCGAGTTCGATTGGGATTCAAGTAGGAAGGGAGCGTCTCAGCTTCCTCGGACCAAGACCATTCGACTCAGCACCCCGAAGACTACAACTGGTGAAAATTTGATTTTAGGGTATACTTCCCCTTTAAGGACAACGCATCCCTGCAATTGTCCCACATAATCCAAGACCTCTGCTCTCTAAAAGACCAGCGGCAGGTCTCCTGCATCTGTTTCTTTGACCTCTCCAAGGCCTTTGACACCATGTGGCACAAGGGCCTCATCGCCAAACTTCGTGCTCACGGTGTCTCCGGCTCCCTACTCGCCTGGATAACTAGTTATCTCTCCGATCGAACTCAGCGCATCACAGTTAATGGAACTTGCATCGATGCATCATTGTTGCCTTGTTCGTCTTATTAAGGGCACCGCTTTGCGTTGCTAAAGACCAAGGGAGAGATCCAAGAGGATACCTGAGGACTTCTCGTAGATCCATCTGACGTGTCTGCGCAATGAGGGCGATGCGGCTGAATACCGAATGATCAGCTTGGAGGACTTGCAAGTCAGCCGCTTTCTTTGTAGCTTTTCCGCTCGATTTCTTCTTCTCAATGGTGAAGGTTGACAGACTCAACTTCTTGGCGGGATTACGAAAGAACTTGAGTGGTGGATTGGAGGTCAGACGCTCATGAAGAAACAGCCTGAATGACTCCTCGCCAATAGCCATCGCACTCAGCAGATCTTTAGCAGCTTTATCGGAGGCTTCGACACACGATGAAATGCTTATCAGGCTTGAGTATGTACCATCATCCACAACAAATGGATTCACCAAGGCCGAGACTGCCGAGCAAACAGCTAAGACACTGCTCTCATCAGCCTTCATCCTCGGACTTTGGCACTCTTTGTGTAAGTGGTTCACAAGCTCGGCATTTAAGTCCAAGCTACAGTGCTCCATGCATGTACCTGCTATCGCCGCTTGGTCATGGGCCGTGAGTACCCATCGTTGCACAGCTGAGGGACTACCTTAGCCACTTTCTCCTACATTGTGAGGGATGTGATCCAGGCTGTGTGTTGACAGATTTGTGGATGGAAGGCAAAACTTGTGGGACAGATTCCGCCTTCATAACCATGGAAGAGTTCACCGTTGATCCCTGCACTTTGATTCACTGACATTACGCCCAGGAAAGGGTGAAAAGACACACCTTGTGAAAAGGTTTGGGATCGTGCGCTGCCGCCCGTATTACCCGCTTGCATTGACAGTGGGGTGGTCAGATGTTCGTTCGCCGACATAGCAATACGTTGTCGAGAGTGACTCCTCCAGTGCCGCGCCCGTTTGTCACTCCGTGCGAAAGACTTCTCACATTCACCACAGGGGTAGGGTTTCTCGCCCGTATGAGAACGCTTGTGGGTTACTAGGTTGTCTTTTCGGGTGCAACTAAACGGGCACGACTCACAATGGTGTATCCGTTCTGCATGTACTCCTCGGACATGACGCTTTAGCTCATCCGCACTCTGAAATATGGCATCGCAGTGTTTGTCGAAACATTCATAAGAACCGGTCGTCTGTGTTGCTGACAGTGGCTCTCGCTGATCCCTGCCTGGAGAATGTCCGCCTCCAAGATTCTGGAAATTTGAAGCCGATGCTGGTAGTTGCGTAGATTGCTGAGAGAACGATAATTCAGCACCGGGCGGTAGCCAATGAAGGTTCCCCAAGATAGAACTGTGCCCAGATGTCGCCATCATCCACGGACGTCTCACTACAGCTTGAATTGTAGGTATTCTAATGCAAGAAGAAATGAAATCCCAACTTTCCTCATCCGAAAGTAAACTGGAAATGAAGATATTGAGCCCACTTTGGCTTTTTATATCAATCGAGGGATAACACGGATGGCACAGAGATCGCGCACAGCTCGAAATGATTACGTGCGGGAGGCTATCGAGTAGGGTCCAGCGGATAATGGCGGCATTATATTCGGCACTACGAGACTTAGAGTATCCGAGCACCAGAGCATTATGGAGCATTAGATTGGAACAAAAGGAGCATTATGTAAGGTTTGAGTGGCATTACGAGCTGCACAGTGGATAATATCGGGAAATCGCTGATTTTTCGCAACAATCGGCTACATGTATGTGTTTTTGTAAAGTATGTGTGTGTAGTCAGTTGAGTCATTCTTCTACATTGTGTGTATATTCATTATGTGTCTATCTGTCTGTATGTGTATGTGTGCGTGCATGCGTATTTATACCCCCCACATGCAACAGGTACATGAAGAGTTATGATGAGACCAAACCATCCACCTATCTCCAGTATTTAGATGCCAATAATCTTTATGGCTGGGCGATGTCACAGCATCTACCAGTATCGCACTTTGAGTGGTGCCCACCGACACGCGAGCTCCTGGATAGCATCCTCACTCAAGCGGACGATGCCTCGCTAGGCTACATGATTGAATGCGATCTCACCGTACCAGATCACTTGCACGACCTGCTCAACGACTACCCACCAGCACCGGAGAAGATGACCATCAGCGAGGAGATGCTCTCCCCATACCAACGCGACCTGATGAAGAGTATGTCGATCACCGGACTATCCTCACCTAAACTGGTCCCTCATCTCATGCGCAAGCAACGGTATGTGCTCCACTATCGCAACCTACAGCTTTATTCCAAACTTGGACTAACCATCGACTGTGTACACCGTGTACTACGCTTCAAGCAGGAAGCTTGGATGAAGCCGTACATCGAGCTAAACACAGAGCTTCGCAAACAAGCTGCCAACGACTTTGAAAGAGACTATTTCAAGCTGATGAACAATGCCGTATTTGGCAAAACTATGGAGAATGTGCGAAGGAGAGTGAACATCCGCTTGCTGCGAGCAGACGATGATGAGGACAGGATCCTCACAGCCGTAGCCAAGCCGACGTATGTTAGACACGTCATGTTTGACAATGACCTCGTCGGCGTTGAAAACAGAAAAATCCGCGTCTCCCTCAACAAGCCCGTGTACATCGGAATGAGTGTACTAGATCTCAGCAAGGAGTTGATGTATCGCTACTACTATTTCAATCACAAGTCTCACTATGCCGAGCGTGTGCGACTGCTGTACACCGATACGGATTCCCTCATCCTCCAGTTGGAAACGGATGACTTGTACGCGGACATGATGAGCGACTTGGATGCGTACGACACCAGCAACTACCCCACAGATCACCCGCTATACAGCCAGGTGAATAAGAAGAAAGTAGGTAAATTTAAAGACGAGCTAGGCGGAAAAATGATGAGTGAATTCGTAGCTTTACGCTCCAAGATTTACTCATACAACGGTGAGGAAAGCGGACAGCGGGCCAAGGGCGTCAAAAGAAGCGTGACGAAGAAGTTCACCATCCGCGACTACGAGCGTTGTCTAACAGAAAGACGCACCTCTGCTCACCCTATGACTGCGCTGAGAAGCCACGATCATCGCATCTTCACCGAAACAGTTACGAAGACCTCACTCTCGCCATTCGACAGTAAAAGATACATTCAGCCCGATGGTGTATCCACGCTGGCATACGGTCATCGCCGCATTGAACCCTCGCACGCGTTACAGTAAACAATGAACTGAGCATTGAGATTTTGACTTGATTTTCATACAGCTATAGCCATACATATTGAGATAGTGATGATGATGCAATGAATCTCCATGTTAGAATATCCAATGAATTATTTGTTAGAATAATCAGCAAGTAGTTTTCTTTAGAGTTTTTCCCATTGATTGGTGCTGATCCATGTGTTGAACTTATCCGGATAGCCTTTCCACTTGACATTCTTTTCAGCGTGCGTCCAAAACTGTCAAACACGAGCACGCGATCTCGCTCTCGGCATACTGTCAACCAGTGGTGTCCACCCTGAGGTGGGTCATACACGGGTATAACGTTGTCTGTGTTGACAATGCAAAACTCTCCATCCTGGAGAGCGTGAGGGAGAAGATCGTAGCTGGACACTCCTCGAAAACCACTCACATGTCGCAGGCAATCCTCGATGTGCACATTGCTCAGCGGTACATCCATTCCACGAGGTTGGGTGTGCTCCTATTATTGCTATTACAAGGAATTTCCTTTGAGTATATTGGAGACTTTAGCCAGGGAGCGGCTACTGTTTTTCAAGACTGAGATCACAAAATCTGTATCGTTAGTGAACACCTTGTGCAGACCATGCATGAAGTGGTCCGGATTCATAAGCTGTGCTTCCAGTGTGGCGGCATATGTCTGCCACATTTCTTCCAATCCTTTGAACTTGTGACCTGCCGATCCAGGGGTTGCGAGAGATAGTTGAATGATAGTCTGCAGCTTGGGTTGGAAGCTGGAGAAGCCGGGCATGAGTGTAGAGAGTCCGATATCACGCAGGGCAATCCTCTCGAAAGGATACTTTGACAAATAGATGCGATTCGTTTCATTCACCAGCGTCATGTAATCTCTCCTGATCACGGCCTCCACACGTTGTCGTGCAGACTCCAAAGCACCTGCAAACGTGGCTGGGTTGTCTTGGAAAAGCTGTTGCAGTTGCGCACGAGCGGTGAAGTAGCTGCTTTTCACAAACACCATGGGAATGTTTCGCCGTGCTAGTTCATCTGAGAGACTCTGTAGAAGGATGCGATCAAAGTCGGAGTCCTTGGTGATGCTTAACGAGAGAGTAGAGGTGGGCATCTTCTTCTTCAACCTCACATCGGCGATGGACTCTCGAACCGCCCCAGTGCTTGCATCGTAGTTGAGAAGATCAGACGCAATCACATTCAGAACGGAATCATAGCTGATGAGGTCGGGGTTGTTCTTGAAGTGACGCTCATACAGGCTCTTGATGTGTGGGTGCTTTTGAAGCTCCCCGCGTGATAGTCTAACCAACGTGTGATCCGGTATGTACTCCAATGCCTTCTTGGCATTTCTCAAAAAGTCACCATAGCTGCTACCGCCACCACGACCCTCAAACACACCGCGACGGCGTCGGGTTGATGATGATGATGGTAGTGTACCCACAACATCCCATGATGATTTTCTTCTTTTGACAATGTACTGCGAGTGTCGTTGCATGTATTCGAGGGTCTTCAATCGTTTCGTTTTCGGGATCATGAAAGCACTCTCGTCAGATCCTCCAGTACGGGTGATACTCTTCGGGAGACCCTTACTGAATCGAACGGTGAGGCGCTCCATGATTACCCTAACTAGAAGGAGAATTTATTATTATTCAAAAATCAATCCCCTTCTGCTTTGTTCACCAGTCTATTCACACACACCCCAAAATCACCCTTACATTTCACATGCGAGGTAAACACACACCAAATTTGACAAGGATGGGGCGGTGGGTTAGGAAGGTGTATTTTACACAATCGCAGATGTAGAAAATAATTCATCAATCGGCAATGTTAACTATCACACGTACGTTTGGCTTCAGAGAATCTACTATTCAAACAGAACCTTGTATGTATCATCATTGCAATAGGTGGAATACTCGTTGCGTGAGCAGTGAATGGCTAGTATAGGGCGTTGGCATGCAGTGAGAAGCTTTTCGTACAGTCTAAACACGAGACCAGACTTGATGCACTGCCCACCAAACAGAGTGTTCAGGTAGCGCTTGATGTTGCTCTTGTCGGTAAAGCGAAATAGATAGAGAAAGTTGGCATTGATCTTCATATCCTTGATATTATCAAAGCTCTGTGAGAGAAAGAATACGTTCAGCTTGTAGTGATGACTGTACATGGTGAAGAACTTGTAGAGACACTCACGCTGATCACCGTGCTTGAGTGACATGACCCGAATATCATCAATGATCACATACGTGTGCGGCTCGATGTTCATTTCCTCGATGTTCTCAGGGAGGGTGCTGTAGTGCTTGAAGCTCTTCACCCCCTCCAGACGATACTGCTCTGCAGGTGTGTTGCTGATGATCACCAGTCGCTCCGGTTGAACTTTGTTCAGAAGCTTTTTCAGGAAGTATGTCTTGCCCATGTTGCTCTGACCCAGGAACAACACATTCTGACCCCACCCGCGGAGAGCGGGTAGGATTTCTTCGAACCACCCCTTTCGTTTGTACTCCAATCCCGATATGGGTGGTGGTGCGTGAGAATCTCGATGCACCCTCGCCGGTTGGATTACGGGTGGAGCAGGAGGGGGAGGAGAGTGATGACGATGGTGGGTAGCATGACGCCTCGTCGCTGTAGAAGTTACAGCCCCTCGACTAGGTGCGAACAGTGATTTGAAGTCCATTGCTTACTACTTCTAGGAGGAGAAATATGTGATCAAATGTTGAATGTGGGTGCAATGTGTGCCGAGTTGCTGGTGTTGCTGCTGCTTGCTCTGTTCAGATTCTCTCTGATCTTACTTGCGAATGGTGAGCTGTGTGTATTAGTGGTGGTGGTGGTGGTGGCACGTCGTCTCGGAGATGATTTCCTCGACAGTCTTGCATGGATGTTGGATTTCACTCTGGATTTGGCCTTCGACTTGATTTTTTGAAACAAGCGTCTTCCGGTGGATTGAAGTTGCTCACTCACCAGGTTCGCTGTACGCTTCTTCCTAGACCTTGTTGTTCTTTTCCCACGTGTCGCACCTCGCACTGTGGGGTGGGCTCTTCTCCCTGAGACTCGCGATGAGTTGCGAGATGTCTTCCGATTGCCTTTTCGCATAGTATGATGCGTGCGTGCTTTCTTCTGCTTTGCCTTTCCATCACCAAAGACCTTATCCACCACGTTGTCACCCACAGAAGCAAGTGCACCCATGGCCAATGGGATGCCCATGGATTTCAACAGTGACAGACCCTTGGCCAAGAGACCAGGGGGTATGGACAGACCACCACGTTGCATGATGGGGTCACGCATCGACTTCATCTGTCTCACGATGATGTTGCCACCACCCTCACCATTTTTACCTTTTCCCAGCAGCATCGGTAGTAGAGAGAGTCCAGCTAGGGCCCAGGGAAATCCACCACGTTGCATCGACAGCTCACGCTTTGCAGGTTGGGACATGTGCTTCTGCAACTCAGGTCCGAGTCCAATCAGATTACCGAGCCAGCTAATGAAACCACTACCACTCTGGCGCTGAACTGTGCTCAAGTCACCACCAGTAGCGAATCGCTGATGCGTAGCTAAATCACCACCATCCATGTCTCACAGACATCTCCATGTGCACCGTATCTTTATCTTAACACAGAGAAATTCTTCAAACTACTTCGCTCTTGATCCCCCTCTCCTTATCCATGGTGTACACGTACTGATCCATACAGAGCATGTTGATCTTGATCGAGGTGTCGGCATGACTGGGTAGTCTGATGGGCGAGTTGGTCACCGCGCTGAACTGATAGTCAATCGTGAGATTACCTCGAGCTTTTTGATTGTCCACCTGTCGATCCAGGTTCAAGTTGATTGGTATCATGAAGAAATGGTTGCAATAGTCACTTGCATTGATGGGGATCTCCATACCATACGTTTTGCCCAGGAACTCTCGAACTAGATTGTAACCACGCAGGTACGATGACTTGTTATAGTCGTAGAAGTAAGTCCCATCATCCTCGTTCTCGGTGCAAGTCCACTCGAACTTGAGAGGGCTGTCGAAGAGCGTCTCGTCGTTGATCATGATGCGAAGCTGCGATAAACCTGCATGAATCATGGCCAGACGGTTGTGGGAGTGGGTGACAGCACCCGTACCGAAAGCCGGCTGATCTCGGGATTTCAAATCTTCAAAGTAAATGATGAACTTGCGTGGAATGTCTGCGTTGTGTAGGAGTTCGATGGTTCCAGCGTCGTCCGTGATGCTCTTTTGGATCTGTCGCGCACACCACGTGTGGAAATACAACTGCTTGGAGAGGCGCATCTGATCGACGTACGCACGATCCATGCGATACGTAGGTACGACAAAATCAAGCTGGGTGAGCTCGATGGTGATGTCACCAACGCTATCCACACTGTTGGCACCTCCCCCCTTATCCGTGACGATCAAGTATCGAGATAGTTCGGCCTGAGGTAGATCAAGCTTAATCTTCACCTGTGTGCCGGGTGGCAACCAAGAGTCATCCACGTTGAAGAATGGAAGGAAAGGACGCATCTTGTACTGGAACCGCCCGGATTGCGTGCGCACGATGTTCTCCTGCACGGTGTTGCTGAATGCCTGCGTTTCAGAAAGGAGCACCTGAGGTCTTCTTTTTACTTTAAAGTCATCAGCAGTGTCGTCAAAGTCATCACCATTCACATCATTCGTTTCGAATGCATAGGCTCGTTTGCGCTTCACACCGTACTGGTAGTGTTCCAGGTGAATGCCCTTCAAAGCTTTCCGCGGGTCCAGTTTTTGAAGACCGAACAGATCCGAGTCGGAATACTGGAGCTTGGACACATCACTCTCCATGAGACTCAGCACATGCTGCACGCTTTGCATGTCCATGATCTTGCTGGACTGAGTCACTTCCGTACCGTTTAGTTCCACTCTGATGTTCTTGAAGAATGAAAATGCGGGTGAGGTGGGGCACACCCAGTGTGGATAACTCCGACTGTTACCACCGTTTCGTCCATCTTTGACGGTGTAGCTGAACTTGGCGATGAAGTAGCTCTCACCCAAAGCCATAAAGTTGCGTGAAGACATATCCAGTTCATGATTCAGGGAAGGTGGAGATCGATCGGCGGATGAATAGAGCACAACACTGCGCCTTCCCTCCAAAAGTGAGTACTTTTTTTTCATTTCTTTCCAATATGCTACTCTGCACGACCTTTGAGCTGTTCAGCAGACCTTTAAACGCATCGGGGATCTGGGGGGTGATGAGCTCCTGTGCCATGGCTGCTCTTCTCCTTCTTTGCTTTAGAGGAG